AAATAGAGAGAGACAGGGAGAGAGAGACAGAGGGAGAGAAAGACAGAGAGATAGACAGAAAAATAGACAGAGACAGACAGAGAGACAGAAATAAAGACAGAGAGAGGGACACAGACACCGAGACAAAGACAGTGAGAGACAGAGAGAGACAGAAAGATAAACACAGAGACAGAGATGTACAGACAGACACAGAGAGACAGAGACACAGAGAGATGGACAGAAAGAACAGAGACAGCAATTGGACATAGGAGACAGAGATGAACAAAGAGAGAGAGAGAGAGACACAGAGAGACAGAGACAGAGAGAGAGACCCACAGAGAGAAAAACAGAGAGAGTGACAGAGACATAAACACACACAGAGAAAGTCAGAAACAAAGAGAGACAAAGACAGAGAAATAGAGGCAGGAAGAGACAGAGAGATAGAGACATAGAGAGAGATAGACAGAGAGAGACAGAAATAAAGACAGAGACACAGAGAGAAACATAGAGAGACAGAGACAGAGACACACACAGAGACAGAGAGAGAGAGACAAACACAGAAAGACAGAGACAGATACAGAGAGAGACAGAAACACAGAGAGAGAAAGACAGAGACAGAGATGTACAAAGAGAGAGAGAGAGAGAGAGAGAGAGATGGACAGAAAGGACAAAGAAACAGCAATTGGACAGAGGAGGAGAGACAGATGGACATGAACAATGAGAGACAGAGAGAGACACAGAGAGGGAGAGAAAGAAAGACTTTGCCTCTGTGAGTATCAACACCGTAACTGCTTCTGGATACCCTGTTTCTTTTCTCTCCCAGGTCCATAAGTGCCCACGCGCGGGTGTCTGTGAGTCTGTCAGAGGACAGCTGACCACAGCCTCTCCATCCATGTGGGTCCCTCATGACTCTGGGGGTGGGTGTGACAGGCGGGGAGGTCCCGGTCCACGTGCTGGACATGCAGCTGGAGACTAGCCAAGCACCACGCTGGGTCAGCTTCCCTGACAGGAGGAGAAAATGTGGAACAAGACTGCATGTCATTGCAAAGGTCAGGCTTGCTGGTTTGCCAGGGACAAAGAGAAATCCCAACAGTGTGACCCTTTCTCACTTGTGGATGCATCAGCTGAGATCACCCCTACGACTCAATTTTCAGACAGACAAGAAGAGAAGTTGATACCAGCAAAGAGCCCAGTTCTTAGGACACAGCATCTTGTAAAATGAAAAGACCAGCATCTGTACCTGGATGAAGCTGGAAAAGCTTGAAAGGGTCAGCTAGGAGGGTGAACGGACATGAGAATCACAGAGATAGAGTGGGTCAAACGGTGCCGGACAATGTGAGGACTGCCATTGATATTCTGAAACAAAAAGTCCATGAAGGTCGTGGAGGCAAAACACATTTGCTCGGTCACTTTCCACCCACAAGCACTATTTATACAATTTATATTATTATACAACTGAAATGTGAGTAAAGGTTTTTCCAGTGTTTACAAGAGGCAAGGGAAGAGGAGAAGAGGGCCCTGAATAACAGAGGAATAGGGGATGAAGAGGCTTGGCCAGCCAAAGCTCGGGGGGCACACAGG